AACGAACCCAACACACTAAATAACAATATGGTGTACAACATGTTGCCCGCTTCATTTTAAATACGTGTTGCTCCTAAGATGTCTTAATATCGCTTCGAGTAAGTCCCCCAAGGCCCCCGATGTTGCCTAATGCGGCTTAGAGGTGGCCCCAGAAGGCCCCAACGTGCCAACATGGTCCCATGGTGCCAAGAGGCTCCCAAGGGGTGCCCAACATGGTCTCCACATGCCCTAATCTTGCCCCAGATGTTTCAAAGATGGCCCGGGAGTGCCCAAGATGCTCCCAACATGTCCCCTAGAGGCTCCCAGATGCCCCCATAAGGCAGAATCCCCCCAAGCTGTCCCAATGTGGATGCAAAGTAACTCAGCCCGGGGATGGGTCGGCGGCGGCAGAGAGCATGATCCTTCAGATAAAAAGGCACATCAAATATGCTGTTGTATTGGCGCGCGGACGATAGAACAACCCTGACTCCCCAAACCCTCGCAGCACAAAGACTGCACCAGGATTGAAAAGCAACGACAACATGAGTGGCACGAAAGCTCGTCCTGGTAGCCCCCCTACGTGCTAGCAGAGGGCGTGCTCCTCCCCAGGACTTTGAATCACATCTCGCTCTCGTGAGGTCCATCAGCCTTGGTACGCCCGCCTGCTTGAACGTCTCTCCTTCTCTCCCACCGGCCAACGCATATGAGTATGCGCGAAAAGTGTAGTGTAGTGTGCGTGTGTGTATGTATGTATGTGTGTGTGTGGAGCTCTGTCCTCGAACACGTTTGCGGCGTTACCATGAGCGTAGACGAACATAAAGAAACATGCATAGCTCATAATTGAAGGGGCCCTGGGACACACAAATAAATACACACAAATAAAGAGATTCCCCATAATTTCCAACATTTTCTGGGTTTTTGTCTTCCCCCCCACTTCCCATATTTTCCCATATTTGTTGGGGAATCGAAGATTAACAGGGTCTGTGTGATTTTTCCCCTCCGGAATAATTGATTAAGAACTCCCGGTTGCCCCAAAGGACCGCCCTGTGGCCCTCTCGGCGTCAGGCCTCTTGGCCCGTCTTGGAAGCTCAGGGGGCTGCTCCGTGAGGCCGAACTCCCTGAGGCACCTTGGGTTGTTTTATGAGTTCCGTGCGTTCGGTTTTTGGAGCGTCAGAGACGCTCCTGAAGGCCCGCCGAATGGGGTGGGGCGTTGAGACCCCCAAGATGGGCCCAGGAGGCTCTCAGGCGGCCCCCCAAAGGGCCCAAGAAGAGGAGCTCGAGCGGCAGTTTCGAGCCTCCACCCTGCGATGGCTCCCGAGACAGCCCGCAGACCGTCAAGAGGCCCCCAGAGGGCTCCAAGAGGTCCCCAGGAAGGCCCAAGACCCCCCAAAGACGCCACAAAGGGCTTTCAAGAAGCCACAAGGCGTGTCCAAGAGGCCTCCTGTCCATGACCTGGGCACGGTGGCGGAGCGGGCCCAAGGCCCAATATATGGGAGAATGAACGCCGAAACTCTTTTGACACCTTCTAGCTCGACCCGTCTCCCCAGATCCTGCCGGACGAGGGCGCCGTGCTGTGCAGCGCCCGGCGGCCTGGCTGGGCGTTCCCAGGGAGAGGCGGCCCTCACCGGGAAGACTCTTGCCCTGGGACCTTAGCTGCCCCGATACGCAACACGCAACACGTAGCGTATTGATACAGAGCTCAACACGTGGGCTGACAACGTGGGTCCGACGCGATACATTCGCCAAAACGTGGCCCAATACGTGGAGCCAACACGCAACGTACTGACACGGACGTCTTGAACACGGGACGTGTTGCGTATCAAAACGGGCGTATCGAGGCAGCTATGCCTGGGACGGCTTCGGGCCCTGGAAACCGAGAGTTGCTTTACACATTCCCTCAAAAGTCTTCCTGGTGATGCCCGCATCTTCCTGGGAACGCCCAGCCAGGCCGCAAGTGTCGTGACGTGCTCACCACGTGGACCCCTGAAGTATCCATCCATTCCCTGGGACGGCTTCGGGCCCTGGAGACCGAGAATTGCCCAACACACATTCCCTCCCGACCAGTTTCGCGGCGCGAAGGGGGTCTTGGCCTGTGCGCGGGCGGAGCCGGTCTGCAGCCGTGCCCCGCTCTGCACGGCCGAGGGGATACCACAAGCCACCACCCGGCCGCTTGTCCCGCGCCCGCCGCCTGAAACTCGTCCTCGTACTTCGCGAGCGAGGCGGACTCCTCCTCGGCCATGTCCAACCTCTCCTCGTACGCTGTGTTCAGCTCGTGCACGAGGGCCTTCGCGCCGCCACACTTGGACGGTCCGCCCCCGCCCCTCACTGTCAGCTTCCGGTGACGGCGGTGGCGTCTGCAGCGCACGGAACACGCTCGAGCGTGCCAGCGCGGGCGTGCTCGGCTGCACGTGCTTCCGACTGGGCACCCGCACAAGCACGACACGGCAGCGCAGCAGCCCATGCAGCAAGCGCGGCGCCCGGACCTCCGACGGCTCGATCTGCGCTCGGGGCGCAGGGCCCAGGCCCTGCGACCCCGGGCCCCGGGCCGGCTTCTCATGCCGGGTGGGCGCTCGACAGTCCCAGGGCCCGAAAGCTGCCTCCAGAGGCCACAGCCGCGAAAGCGCATCGGGCTCTGGAGGTCTTGGCATCGCATGATGCGACCAGTGCTGGAGACGCGAGGATGCCGTTGCTGGGCGCCCGGGCGCACGCAGGAGCAGACGAGTGGCAAGCCTCTCGCGAGCGTTAGCCTGGTGAGGGGGCGGGGGGGCGGGGGGGGCGAGGGGCGTCGGGGGGAGGCAGAGAGGGAGAGCGAGGCCTGGAGGGGGGGGGGGCGGACAAGGCGGAGGAAGCTGATGATGAGGGGCACGAGCTGGGAGTAGAAGGACAATGGTGAGTGAGGATGATGAACAGGAGGAGAAGGCATATGCTGCTTCTTCCCCCATCTCCCACCAGCGCGGCCCCAGGCAGCAGTCGCTCGAGCGCGGCCGGCCTGCCCTGTCGAAGCCGCTGTTGTCAAAGTCGTTCCTGTCGTAGCCGCTCTGGTCGTGGCCGCTTTTGTGGTGGCCCACCTTGAAGTCGCCGAGTCTGCTCCAGCCGCCCCTGTCGTAGCCGCTCTTGTCGAAGCCGTTCTTGTCAAAGGCGTTCCTGTCGCAGCCGCGTAGGTCGAAGCCGCGCTTGTCGTGGCCGTCGTGGCCGCGCCAGGTCGGGTCGGGGTGGCCGCTCGCGTCGACGCCACGCCTGTCGTAGCCATTGGCGTCGCAGCGTCGCTCGTTGTAGCCGCCCTTGTCGAAGCCGCGGAGATCGTAGCAGCTCTGGTCGCAGCCGCCTCCAGGGTAGCGGTTCCTGTCGTAACCACGCCAGTTGATGCCTTCCCTGTCGTAGCCGTCTTTGTCGTAGCCGTACTGATGGAAACCCTCTGAATCGAAGCCAACCGGGCTGCCGTAGCCAAGCTTGGAGTATCCGCTCCTGTCAAAGCCGTTCTTGTCGAAGCCGCTCCTGTCGTAGCCATAGCAGTTGTAGCCGCGCCCGTTGAAGCCGTCAGAGTTGAGGCCATCCTTATTGTAGCCCTGGAGTCGTAGCCGAGCTTGTTGTAGCCGCTGTCGTCGAAGCCGTTATCGTCGTAGCCCTCCTTGTTGTAACCGCCCTTGACGTAGCTGTCCTTGTCGTAACCGCGCAAATTGAAGCCGCTGCAGTCGTAGCCATCTACGTCGTAGCCGCTCCTGTCAAAGCCGTTGGAGTCGCAGCCGTCCTCGTTGTAGCCGTCCCAATAGAAGCCGTTCTGATCGTAGTCGCTCCTGTTGTAGCCGCTCCTGTCGAAGCCGTGCGCGTTGTAGCCACTGACGTCGTAGCCGTTCGCGTCAAAACCCTCCTTGTTGTAGCCGTCCTTGTCGTATCCGTCCTTGTCGTAGCCGCTCCTGCCGAAACCTTTCTCGTTATGGCCACTGGAGTCGTAGCCATCCTCGTCGAAGCCGCCGTTGTCGTAACCGCAGTAGCCTGGGCCCGCCGCAAACGGATCCGCCGCAGGAAGGACCGGGAGAGCCGCCCTATCGGGAAAAGCACGTGCAGGAACAGTGGCAGTCCGTTGACACGGGGCCTTCCTCAGCGGTCCGTCCGATGACCGAGCAGAGGCAGCCTATGGGTCACCGTAGCCATTGAGCCACAGGTCCCGAGCTCGATGAGCAGAAGGCAGCCGACAATCACGTGCATGACGAGGCAAATCATTGCCACCTCCACCTCCGTGGCCACCGTCATCGCCACCATCTCCTCCAACCAGGGGGCTTGCGTGACCACGGCCATCAATCCGAGACAGGCCGAATCATGATTGAGAAGTGACGCTCTCAATTCGACTTCCTCTGGCCATGGTCGACGACAATCGCCCGCTCGATGTCTCGAATCATGTTTTGCAGCAGGCGAATGGGCAATGCATTCCGAACTCGTATGTGAGACGCCGAGAAGAGTCAAACTTTGACCACGCTATGATCGACGAGTGCGTGCACACGTAGAGCAGCAGTGTGCCCTCGGAGGAGTTGCTGGAGCGCCTGCTCGAGACGCCCTGCCGGGACCATCGCAACAGGACGGTCGGAAACGCTGGCTCGAAACCCGCACGTGCGAGAGAGTGGCCACACCTCAAGCAAGTGCCTGAGCCAAGGTGGCTAGGAGGAGGAGTATGATGATGATGATGTTGATGATGATGCTGATGATGATGATTCGGATGATTCGGATGATGATGATGATGATGATGATGATGATGATGATGATGATGATGATGATGATGATGATGATGATGATGATGATGATGATGATCGACCGTACCTGGGTGGCAACAATCATGCCGCACGCTTAGTTGTCAGTGGCGCGCACGGCAGCTGCTACACCGGCAAGTTGCTCTGAGGGGTTCGCTGCGGTGTCGTGAGCCAGCAGGTGTGAAAGGAGAGCACACCAAGGCGCATGGCGGCACTGCGAGAGAGTGCGCACGTTGCGCAGTTGTATTCGTTGTCGGCACCAAGGCCGAGTGTTAAAAGGGGTGAAGGGGGGAGGGCGAGGAGTTCACCAAGGACAGGGCAGGTGAGGTAGTGTGCGATACAGTCGGGCTGCTGACTGCAACCAAACATACAGGATATAACTCCACTGACGTGCATGCGGTGTGATGTTGTCCACCCTCCTGCAAGGGTCTTGAGTAGGCTCCATTGCCATGCAGGCTTGAATGTGCGGAGCACCGCAAAGCATTCCCCCCACCGCTCGCCCACCGTCCCACTAATCGAAGCGGAAAGGCCCCACGCAGACAAACGCATAGTGATAGTGATCATGACGATGATGGTGATGATGGTGAAGAAAGAGAAGAGTAATACGAAAAAGAAGAAGATGAGGAGTCAAGCTTCGTGGCCTCACTCAAAACATTGAACCACCTGTGGATGGCAATTCTGGCTAAGCGTTCCTGGCGACGGGTAATACATCGGGGCGCTGCCTACCTGATTGTACAGAAGGGCAGACAAACTAAACCCTCATAATACACGCCCCCTACGAAGCCTTTTAGTACATGCGCCCCAGGAAGGAGCCGAACAAGGCAAGAGTGTTTACTCAACGCCCATGGCTGTTTAGCAAACCCTGTCTATGGGGGGGGTGGATGGGTTTCCGCCCCTTGACTGTGCTGTCTGCATTGGCACCCACCGCTTGTGCACGACCGCGCTGCCAGCCCCCGCGCTGTCAGCCCCGAAGGGTGCTGCATTGGATGGGTTTGGTCTGCCCACCCTTAGGCCGAATGGCCGAATCCAGAAACCCTGAATGCAAAAATGTTGAGGTCTCACTTTTGCGTCCGCAGCCTTCTGATGTCATTCCGCCGGCTTCCGCCAGCGGAACCGCCGCCGCTCTACTCCCACCGGCTTTCACCGCATGCCGTCGAAAAAGAGATGCCGACGTGCGGGTCCCACGAAGGCGAAGCCCTCTCTGGAGCGCCCCAAACGATAACGAGCCTCAACGGGAAAAAACTAGAATACGCCCCCCCCAGATGTTGTAATTCAAGGGCTAATGCGACAGCCTCATTTTGACAAAGAACCGCCCTCCATTCTCGTAACTGTTGCAAGCTTCTTCAGCGGAGATGCGAGGCGTTGAGGCGTCAGGTCCATTGTGTCAAGGAACCGCCCTCCACCCTGTAACTGTTGCAAACTTTTCAAACGAATGTGCACGGCATTGCGGTCACAACCCCATTTTGAAAGCGACACGCTCCATCCGTGTAGCTGTTGCAAACAGTTGCGACGAGTGAGCGCGGCGCTCAAACGACAGCCCTAATTTGAAAACGCCCCCCCCGCCATTGCAGTAGCCGAGACAATCTCTTGAGACGAGTGTGCGCGGCGCTGGAGGCGTGGCGGTTGGAACTTTCAAACTTCAGGGTCAGGACATGGTGTGGAAGTCTCGAGCCAAACGCCTGGCCCGCCGTTCCTGCATGCCTGGCGGTGCGACATTGGCGAGCTATCTCAACAAGAAACGGATTGACAAGAACGGAGACTGAGGAGGCGTGCCGACGGAGGAGTGCCGCGCTCAGCTGCCGCTGGGGGGCCGGCGAGGCGCTCGGCGGTGTGGAAGGAGCCGAGCAGCTCTTTCACCCTCTCGGTGGCGCCCTCGTAGTCGTCGTCGTACCTCACGTCGGGGGCGAGGATCGGGAAGGACGATCGACTCCCAACCTCCGAGATAACATTATGGTGTTTTGTTTTGTTTTTGTTTCCAACCTGGCCGTTGTCTTTCCGCCGCCGGACGCTTTCGGGCATTGGGGCTTTCAGGCATGGATCGGGGGAACAAAAACTGCGCCTCGGGGAATGGGGTGCGGGAGCTCTGCGGCCTGCGCACTGAAGCAGTCGCATCGTCAGGTGTCTGGGGCTCGATGAAGAGGATCGAAAAGCTGTTGGCTGCTTTTGGCTGGACCTTTTTCCGGGCTCTCTGAGGGTCCTTCTCGCCCTCCAGAAGTGCCTCGGAGCAAGAGGGAGGACCTTTACATACTTCTACTCCACGCTCGGCACTGCCCAAATCTGGGCTCGCGCATGGAGCGACGGCACTAGTTACTCAGGGAGGCAAGCCTGCCCACCCGAGCCAACGAGCCCAAGCGACTGCATGCATGCAGCACGCCCGAGAAACCAACACGATGCGCCAAGGAGGCTGACACTCGGGGTTGAGAAACTCGCCATCTCTCGGGCTTCCGTTCCCCGTGCATGTTTCGATTTCGCGCGTGTGCGTTGTGGGAGATGATCCAATCTGCTTCTCCATGGTCCTCGCCTGGGAAGCATGCACACGTCCGGGTGAGGCCAACTGAAAGGGGGTGTTGGAGGGTCTTTGGGAGAGGCTGGGAGGCCTCTTGGGGCCATCTTGGGCCCCATGGCTCAAAAAAAGGAGGACCCTCAATTAGGACCCCCCCCTCGGAGGCTCACAAATGGCGTCTTGGGGCTCTCTTGGGCCGCTCTTGGGCGATCTTGGGGACCAATCGGCCCACATAGACGGTTTTCCTGGCTCCTCCCGGCTCCGGAGGCGCCAGTGTTTCGAGGGAAGCGTCCGGGGGCGGGGCCCAAACCAGCTGCACGCAGCAATGTTCGTACCAGCCCTCTCTCCCTTCCCCCCCTATCGTCCGACACAGGACGAGTGCAAGACTTTCGGTCCCGAGAGGCCTCTGGAGGAGAAAACGGGGTGTGCAGGCAGAGGAGGAGGAGGAGGAGGAGGAGGAGGAGGAGGAGGAGGAGGAGGAGGAGGAGGAGGAGGAGGAGGAGGAGGAGGAGAGAGGAGGAGGAGGAGGAGGAGGAGGAAGAGAGGAGGAGAGAGGAGGAGGAGGAGGAAGAGAGCGAGGAGGAGGAGGAGGAGGAGGAGGAGGAGGAGGGAGGAGGAGGAGGAAGAGAGGAGGAGGAGGAGGAGGAGAAAGGCAGGGAGGGGGGGGATGGGGGAGGAGGGGGGAGGAGGGCTGGGAGGGGGAGGAATGGTGGAGGGAGAGAGGAAGGGGGGAGGACGGAGGAGGAGAGGGGGAAGGGAGAGCGAAGGACCACCTGGAAGGATGATTACCTGAGAAGAACAATGTACTGGGGGAGGAGGGAGGAGGAGGAAGGGGAGGAGGGGGAGGTGGGAGAGGAGGACGGGGAAGAGGGGGGGGGAGGGAGGGAGGAGGAGGAGGAGGAGGAGGAAGAAGAAGAGGCCGAGGAGGAGGAGGAGGAGGAGGAGGAGGAGGAAAAGGAGGAGGGGGTAGAGTAGTAGTGCGCAGCTGCTGAGCAAGAAATTTACAGTGCCATGGGGAGCTCACGCGCTGCGCCGAAACAAGCTGCGTCGCGCCGCGCTGCTCGCACACTCAGACGGCAAGGCCGAACGGAAATCCGACGAAGTGCCCGGCCGAGGGGACCGAAAACGAAATGAGACGAGGGCCCGAGGGACCGCGAGGAGGGGAGGCGAGAAACACGCGGGCGAGGGCCACTAGTATCACGTCACACCCGCGATGTTCGCTACTGCGCGCTGTCCGTGGCCTCATCACTTACCGTTTTTGTCCTGGTGCTGCGGCAGCACTGCCGAGCTCGAGGGCTCGACGCTGTGCACGGACACGCGTCAAAAACACGACAATGTACTCCACCATCAGCTGGAAACGAAGCTCCCAACAGTGTTGAACGACATCTGCTCAGAGAGACTCCCACGCCTGTTGAAATACACTGCTCAGAGACCCCCCACCAGTATTTAAATAAACTGCCAAGAGACTCCACCAATTGAGCTATCACTGCTAAGAGAAACCAACATGGACGTAACTAGCTGCTAAGAGACTCCCTCCATCCAGCACCAACTCGCCATCATGTGTGAACTTGTCTCCGTGGCCCGAAGGACCCTTAGGGCCGCGGGGGATCTTACTGCCAAGAGACTCCAGCACCGCGGGGGGGAAATAACAAACAATAGGAACAAACAAACTGTTGAGGGCGCGCCTGGGTGCCTGGGACAGCCAACTCCGCACGTTTCACGCATTGAGGGCATCGGTCCAGGCAGAGAGTTCTTCTTTCATGTACCCAGCGGGCGCTGGGCCAGCGGCGACGCCCTGGCCGAGCGCCTCGAACGAGTCGCGCAGCGCGTTCTCCTTCGCCTGGTCGTTCACCGAGAAGACGATCTTGATCATGCCGGCCTGGTAGCAGTTCTCGAGTGGGCACAGCTCGACGAAGTCTGGCGCCTCTCCCACCATTGCCGTCGCCCACGCTTCGAGTGGCCTCTTTGACCTGTCTGGCCTCGTCCTCGGCCAGCGCCCCGACCGTCGCCGCGGACGCCGTGGCTGTGGGCGGGCCCAACTCGCGCAGCCACTTCCGGGCGGTTGCGGCCCCGGCGTCCGTCTTCGCCTCGGCCCCTGCGTGTATACGTCCTTGGGCGCCCTCGCCCCGTTCTTCAGGCGCTTGATCCTGCCCTGCGACGCCTGGGCGCCCGCTGCGAAGGCCCGATTTTCGTCCTGCGTCGCATTCCATTCGCGACCTTGGAGGTCGTCTTCGCCATCGCCGTCTTCGCCAATCGCTTGCATGCCCCGCAGGCACGGCTGCGCCAGGTGAGCTGCGCGACCTGGGTCGCGGGCAGGAGGGGGAGCTTGCGTGGGCCGTCGTCCTCGGTCGTTAACTTCCGCTCCTTGTCAGTGTGACGGCGACGCGCCCCCCCCCCTTCCTCCGCGCAAGCTTCGCCTTGGCTGTCGCTCCGTCCTCGCCTGCCGCTCCGCGAGCGACTCCGTCCTCCTCGCCCTTCTGTTTCTTGCGAAGCTGCCCCCGCCGCGCCCCCATCCTTCCGCCCACTTCCACCTTCGTGGATGCGTCGGGGGTCAGCGCCGGCAACGGTCAGGCCATCTAACGCGCGGAGTTCTGCCCGGGGCGCGAGGCGGCGCAGCGGGCGCAGCCGGCGCGTTCGGGCAACCGCGCGGGGCGCGGGGCTGGCGCGGCGGTCTGGGCTCGACGACTGCAGCTGACGGGCCCGCCCCCGTCGGCGGCGAGTGGAGGCGCAAGTGGCCGCGGGGCGATGAGATGAGCACGACGTGCCACGCACCATGCGCTTGTAGTCATGCGGGTCCTTGAACACGTATGGGTATGCAGTGTTGTTGCGAATGCAGCGTCCTGCGTGTCATGCTCGCGCAAGGTGTCGTGCTGCTTCGGTGAAATTATGAGATGTGGTGCCGCAGTTGATGCGCGCGCTCGTAGGTGTGTTGGGATGGCTTATGCTTAGTCCTCCATGTCCTTCCCTCTGGTTCTGAGTAGCGTGCGCTATAATTGCTGGTCGCGACTTGAACGGCGCTCCACGGCGCGCGCCGCCCCCGCAAACCATGGCGCACGATGGCGGGGATTGCTATTCCCGCATTTCTTCGCCGTCGAGCTCCGCGGGCACAGAGTCCGCCAACGACGCAGGAGGCTGCCTCTCAGACGCCGTGGATACCGTCCGCAAGGACTGCGGATCGAATGCCTGGAGTAGCAGTTCACGTCGGTGTCCCAGAGTAGTTCGTGCGCGTCGCCACTCCAGGCCGCCGCAAAATCCCCAGCCTCGGGGTGATCCAAGACTATCTGCATATCAAGTTTGAGTTGTGCCTATCATTTTGCCCACCAGTTGGCGCAAGAGCTGATGGGCACGAGCGTTGCGCCTCAAGTTCCCGCTTCATGTCGCCGAAGAAAGACTGAGAGGAAGTGCGGGCGTCTCGGAGGATTGCGGGCCCCGCTCTGCCACGCCTTCAGAGATTGGACGGTTGCCTCGAGCGCGAAGGGCACCGGCTGCCAGTGGCGGTGGACCTCCCGAGGCGTGGGCAAGTGTGCCTGGTCGTGCGTGAACGTGGCTGCTGCGCCCATCAGCGAGCGCAAGTTTTCACCTGCGATGAGCCGATGGCGCGGTGCCCGCGCTGAGCTCAAACCATTGCAGCCGACCCGGCAAAGCCGGCGCCGCTGACCAGCGAGATGAACATCAGCCTCTTCGCTCTCAGCGGCGCGTTCGCATGCTGGGAGTCCATGGCCATCGGCCACCTGCGGTTCAGCGCCTGGGTCCTGGCCTTCAATTCGTTCGCGTTGCTGCCCGCAGCTGAGAACCGGGCGCGCGCGTGTTTCAGCTCCTAGCCCGCCTGGCAGCCCGACATCATCTGGCCTGTGATGAACTGGCGCGTGAGTCGGAGGGCCTGGAGCGCAGGGGCCACGTCCTGCTTCGCCCTGTTCTGGCCATGCGCGCTCGCCGCCTGCGCGTGGTCCAGGTGCGTGCCATTGTTTTCTGATGTCTTCACAATGGCGGCAGCGCAGATCAGGTCCTTCGGGATGAGCAGCGTCTTGAACATATCGTCCAAAAGTGAGCGCCCGTGCTCGCGTCAATCGGTGCGAACCTGCCGACGGCCATGGCCATGCTGTCGCTACTTTGCCGTCTCTGAAAAAGGCTGCCAACGCACGGGCAGCATGATGACTGTCCTGCATGAGTCTCTAGCCCCGACGCGCCGCCCATGAACCCGCCGCTGCCACTCCGCACTGCTACCCGCTCGCCAGCTGCATCTATGACTGGGAGCATCTCGCGTCTCGATCGGGCGACGCGAATGACGCAGCGGATATCATCGTCGGCAATATCCTCATCTTCGGCCAGCCGATCGTGTGCACATTGTTAAGATTGTGCTGCCTGTCCACGCGCGAAGGCATTGGTCGCGTCGTAGCTCTCGTGCAACATCGGCTGGCCACTGTGCAATCCCTTCCATGCTGCGCTCGTCGCAATCGTCAGGTGCTCGCGCCGTCGACCCCTGCGCGCAGAAGTCATTTGGGCGGCCTGCAGGAGCCCCCCCCGCGCAGCCGCCCGCGGGCGCGGGCCCTCCACCGCGGGCGCGCGGCGCGGAGCAAGCGTCCGCCAGCGGGCCCAGACATGCCGCTCTGCTTACCAGGCGTGAATCCAAACGACAGCGAAGCCTGGATCGGGAGCTCCTGGGCTCGGCGCACTTGCGCGGTCAACCTGAAAGGTCGGCGCGCCGCCTCGCCGCGTCTGCCCAGGCGCTGCAAGTGGTGTCTGGCATGAAGGGTCGGGGTGGTCGGCCCCTCGCTCCAGATCGCCTCGGGGCGGGCCCCCAAGCCCGCGAGCTGCTTCCAGCGCTCGCTCGGGAGGTTGACCCACGCGGGTTGGGCAGCATCTTGGACGCCTCAGCGGGGGCTGACCACGCAGGCGAGATTCGACCCAATTTTGACGTGCGGATCGCTTGTGCTGCCGCGCCGAAGTCCATCTGCGCCTTCTTCCGCGCTTCGGCCGTGACGTCGTAGCTGTCGGGGCACGCGCACTCGTCGATGTCCTTCAGCTGCCAGTAGCGCCCCCCCGAAACCTGGCGCACCACGGTGCCGAGAGGGACTGGCCCGCCAGCCCGCCGCTGAGGGGCGGCAGCTCCAAGAACTGGACCCATTCGGACGCCGACGGCGAGAAGGGCGGGCTGGCCCTGGAGCTCCGTTCTCGATGCCGATGCAAGTGCCCGCGAGGGCCCCTAAAAACCGAGGGGCGGCCGCCATGTCACGGACGCGCCGCGCGCGTGCCAACTCCCTCGCAGAAATCTCCTTCGTCTCTTCCACGTGCTTGCACCCGTGGGACATGAGCGCCTTCGAGTAGGCTTTGATCGCGAGAGCGAGCTTCGCCACGTCCGACGCGGGGGAAGCGTCCTCAGCGATGCTCCGCGCCGTCACCCCCTGGAGCAACTGCCTCCTCGCCCTAGGCACCTCCCACTTATCCTGGCCCGTGCGCTCGTTCCGCTCGCTCCGAACCTCCACCCAAAAGAAATGGCGCAGGCCGGCACGCATAATCATGGTCCATCAGCGGGGCCGCGGGGCCCGTCGACACCTCGCGGCTCTCCAGGATCTTGAAGGACTGGCGGCGAGACCCCAGTTCAGCTTGTACGTCTGCCAGGGAAGCCTCGCGCCCTGCTCCCATGAGGGTGGCCTTGCTGAGTTTGGCACGGTCCCATCGCTCCCTCGGCGGCGTGAGGACAATCCGCGGCGCCATTTTCACCTTGATAACGACAGGGATGTGGTCGAGCATTGCAGGCATGGACTGGCCCTCCTGTGCCGAGCGCCGCCAAATTGTTGGCCCAGCTGATTAACGGGCACGCGCCAGCAGGGAGGTACACGTAGTCAATCTGGCTGGCCCCGCTGTCGGCCTCGAACGCGTTGCCGCACTCGTCGAAGGTGTGAATGGCAACGAGCCCGGACCGCGTCAAACCACTCGTGCACCGCCGCCCCCACAGGCGTTCTCCTTCTCTGCGCCGAAGGGTCTGACCGTCTCCGATTCAATCTTCGTTTGCAGCCCCGAATTGAAGTCCACAAGCGTGTGCCGCTGCGGGATCTTCAGGTATTCCGACTTCGCCCATCGCAGCAGCTGATCATAGGCGTCAATACACCGAAGGCTACCAGCACGACCTGGCTTCGGGGGAGATATATATATATATATATATATATATATACACAGGGCCACCACGCCCACGGAGTCCAGCAAACCAGAATTTGTTGATCATCGCTGCGCGCCCGCATGCCTTCGTGACGAGGCGGTTGCGATCCCACCCGAAGTGGATCGTATGGTGGTAGGCGGCGTTGGCCGCATGGTGGAACTCGCCCTGCCAAGCCCGAGCACCGGTGCCAGGTAACCCAATCACTCCCCCATTCCTGAACACCACCGAGACCTCGTCCAGGCGGCAGGCCGTGACCAGAGACTGCGGGCTCCAGGTGCCAGTGAAGCTCCAGCGGCCGCCCAGCGCGAAGCAGAGGACGAACTGCAGCAGGAAGCGGAGGCTCCGCGGCACGAAGAGGCCTCGGGCGCGGGGCCGCCAGCGCGTGCCCGAGCCGCGGCGTGCCGCCTGCCCCCACGGGGCGTCGCACAGGCCGTCGGCGCCCGCGGGCAGTGGCTGCCCCCATCGCGGCGGGGCATCCCTCTGGAGGGGTGTGTGGCCTGGGCCGCGTCGGCGGCGAGGAGGGGGGGGGAACGAGGAGGAGGGGGAGGAGGGGGACGGGGGAGGACAAGCTAGGTGCGCTCGCGTCATATCTGACGTCCGACCCATACCCCCCATCCCTTACCATGGCATGGATCTCTGCTCTACTCGCACAATCGGATGTAGCAACATGGCATATAATTACTTGGCACACCATGGTGTCGAATATCGACGCGTAGCATGACATAGCATGGGGTGGCGACGCCCCAAAATGGGGCGTCTTCCTGCGACCCAAAAAATGAAGGAATCCGTACCGACTGTGTAATCACGTCCGGTGGTTTCTTCGGGAGGCCATTTTCTAGATTTTGGGGCCTATTTGGAAGGACCGGAAACCATGCCGGGGCATGGCGCTCGAAATAATGACGCCAGCGCTGCAGCGGGAGCACGACTCGGAACGAGCGGAAGCGCGGAAATGAGGCCAACGCTGCAGCGGGAGCACGATTCGAAACGAGCGGTAGCCCGAAAATGAGGCCAGCGCTTCAGCGAGAGCAGCATTTCGGGGGCCTATTGGGAAGGACCGAAAACCATGCCGTGGCATGGAGCTGGAAATAATGACGCCAGCGCTGCAGCGGGAGCACGATTCGGAACGAGCGGTAGCCCGAACATGAAGTCAGCGCTTCAGCGACAGCAGCATTTTGGAAAACACCCAAGCAGAAACCCAACTCCCGGGGATCCTGGGAAAAAACCAATACGCAAAAGGGGGCCGGACCTTCCCCGGCCGCCACCCGGTGGAGAGAGGGAAGTAGTACTCATATTGTGTAATTGTGGAGGGAGATGGGCAGGGAGGGGGAGGAGGGGGAGGGGGAGGACGGGGAGGACGAGGAGGAGGAGGGAGGGAAGGAGGGGGGGGGGGGGGGGGAAGGGGGGAAGGGGGGGGGAGGAAGGGAGAGAGGGGGAGAGGGGGAGGTCTCCATGGCCAAGGTGCTGGCGCCGCGCGGCTCAGGGGAGGACCTCCCCAGACCCCCGACGTAATGATTTTTTCATTGCGTCGACCCCCAGAGGCCCCGACCCTTTCCCCATGACCGGCTTTGCATCCTGAGTCGTTTTTTGACGCTCCGGAGGCCCGGTGAGGGCCCCAGGAAGCCGAAAATCAGGAAAAACCTGCCGTCACGACTTTTTCATTGCTCGAGGGGGTCTGGGTCTGGACCCGTCGCCCGTGCCCTCGGCCCCCCGCTGTGGCGCCTCGGCCGGCCCCTGCCGGCTGCTCCCGCGGCAGCCGGCCGCGGGAGCCGCGGCGCTCGACGAGGGGAGGCTCGGCGGCAGGCCGCCGTGGCCGAGCGGGCGGCACGCCCATCGAGGGCCGCCAGCAGGGGCCCTTCGTCGTGATTTCTACGCTTTCATCGGCTTCTTCCTCTTCCGCTTCCTCCTCTTCTTCCTCTTCCTCTTCCTCTCCCTCTTCCTCTTCCTCTTCCTCTTCCTCTTCCTCTTCCTCTTCTTCTTCCTCTTCCTCTTCTTCTTCCTCTTCCTCTTCTTCTTCCTCTTCCTCTTCTTCTTCCTCTTCTTCTTCCTCTTCTTCCTCCTCTTCTTCTTCTTCCTCTTCTTCCTCTTCCTCTTCTTCTTCCTCTTCCTCTTCCTCTTCCTCTTCCGCTTCTCCTTCCTCGTGGCCGCGGGTGGGTCGCCGTGGGCACTGGCCGGCAGGTTGGCTCGGCGCAGGCCAGGAAAAGGCTGCCCCCCCCCCCCCCCCCCCGTTCGGGTGCGCCGTGGAGGGGGGGGCCGGGAAGAGGACACTTCTGGTCTGAGGCACGTGCGCGGGCGAGGGGGGGGGGCCAGAGGGGGGCACGATATCCGCGAGATTTCATGGCCCTGGCCATGGCATCCACCCCTCCGTAGTCCTCACCCCCGCTGCCGCGTTCCCCCCCCCCGCCCCCCCTCTGCTGGCTGGCTCAGCGGGGCCCGAAACGACCACAACTGCGCGGGGGTCAGCTGGATCACCTCCATGCTCCTCCTCCTTCCCAAAACTCCAGAGTATCTTTTAATAGCATGAAGAAGAATGCGCGCCCTGTTTTTTGATCTTGGCCTCCGAGGGCCGTGTCTGGGTCCCGGAGCTATCAAACACGGATCCGGGATAAAACGCCCGTCCCCGGGGAAGGGCGCCCTGGGGCCGCGGATATGGTACAACACGCCGTCGAATTCCTAGGCATTCCGTCCCGTCCTCGCCTCGTGGCATCCCTCCCTCGCGCCCCTCGCTCACCAGGGCACTCCTCCAGGTCCTCGGAGTGCACGGACTCCCCTGGCTCGCTGGAGTACACCGAGTTGCTGTCGCGGGGGCTCTCTGACGTGGCCTCTGCGCCAGACGGGACAGAGGGACTCGAGCACGGGAGAGCCTTTCGGAAGAGGATCTACGTACAGCCCGTGACAGCGGTATGAGCTCGTCGAGTATGATATTCGAGCCAGCCTGGGCGTCTATAAACGAAGCCAGCTCTACTGCTTAAGATCTTCCCTAGGGTGGTCATCTACTGCGAAGATCGTCTTGATCATGCACTCGCTATGTTCTGCAACGGCCAACGCAAACGCGCATTTCTTGAAAACTTGGGCGAAGGATCCACCACACTTTGGCGGAGAAGTGAGGCGGGGTCGAGGTCAAGGAGATAAGTAGACGAGTGGAGCCGGGGAGGAGGAGGAGGCGGAGGAGGAGGAAGAGGACGACGAGGAGGCGAATGACGGGGGGGGCGCATGACGAGTGCGGCTATGCCCTCTACATCGAGCGATCGCTCTCCATTGGTGTCACCCCCCCCATGGCTCGCGGAAGCGGGACGGGGGCCTCTCCTGCCCGGCTGGGGGCGCTACATAACCAGTCGGGCGAAGGGGTGGGGCTGGTTATGTCTGCGACACCTCCAGGGTGAGCTGGAGGCCGGTTGGAGAAGGTCTTCCCTCCTCCCGCTTCCCACCCTACCCCTCCTCCTCCTCCTCCTCCCCCTCCTCCTCCTCCTCCTCCTCCTCCTCCTCCTCCTCCTCCTCCTCATCCTTCTCTTTCTCGTCGTCGTCGTCCTCCTCCTCCTCCTGCTCCTCCTCCATGCTTTTCCTTACAAATAGCTCCTCCCTGTCGCACCTCGAGGCCAGTCGGAAGGGCGGGCTGGGCGTTTCGCCCGAGACTTCCGCACCACTGATGGGCCCGAGACTCAACAGTTCGCACCAGTTTCACACACGAAGGGCGTGTGACTTTCAACATGTGGCTCTTCGCCTTTGCGCAACGCACACTCGTCTTATACAGATGGAAGAGCTTAACGGATGGAGTGCGGGTGATCTTCGACATGTGGCTCTCTCGCCTAAGCGCAGCGCGCACTCGTCTTACACTTTTTAAGGGTTTCACAGATCGAGGGAGGGCCGCCTTCAAACTGTGGCTCTCGCCTTAGCGCAGCGCGTGCTCGTCTTAATCATCTGCAAGAATTTCGCGGATTGAAGGCTGGTTGTTTTCCAGATGTCTCGCCTTAGCGCCGCACGCATTCGTGTTGAAAGACGAAGCCCTCTAGGGAGGGGTCCAGGGGAGGGGCGAGGCCCGTACGCAATGGTCTAAGGGCACGTTTCCCTCGTATTTTTTCGAATGAAGCGGCTTCCGGGCGGCTCCCATGGCCAGTTTCTTTA